CTTAGAATAAAGGATTTTTGTTATAATTTGACTATTTTGTGTGTGTTTTTCCATCTGATAACTTTTGTATTTGTGTATTTTTTTGTAGGGAGGAAACAGTTCATAATGTGATTCAAAGATGGGAAGAAAAGCAATGCGTTTTAGAAAATGCTTTTTTATATACAAGACATTTAAGTTATTCATTGAGCATTCACTGCGTATAGAGCATTCACTCTGTTAGGTGCTGTTTAGAATAGAAACAAGTTCAATATAAAACTATTAAGGAAACCAGGGCACATGGGATTTACATGTACGTCATAATTATAACTTAGAGCACTTAAGTACTAGTCCTTAATAAGAGATTCCAGTGTCAAATTTTGCTTTAACTGTTAAAACATTTAATATATACCTCTATTAAATGTGCGTGTAAATATTAATGAGATCCTTTAAAGTGAATTAACTCAAATTATTTCTTCACCAATTATGATTTGTATTAATGATTGATAAATTGAAGAAATTGATTTGATCAATGATTACTTGAAATAGATGTGAATATTTATGTGAGTTGTTGCTATCTTTTTTTATATGTAGCACTTTTCGGTGATCAAAGAGGAACCAGCATTCCTTAATTTCTGTTGTCCTCTTTTAAAGGTGCTCTAGGAATGCTCTTTAGAGGCCATGTGTTTTCCATCTTGCCTTTGTTTTTCTCACTAAGTATGAAAGTAATTGCATAGCCATGTACTATCAAATTTCTAGTATAAATTATAAAGCTTTACCATTGTTGAAGATAAATATGTATTTTTCTTTCAATTAAAAAAATCCACAGCAGAATGTAAAAGTCGCTGTTCTAAAATTTTGCTTTGAATCCTTTAACTATCTTTATTCTAAATAATTTATAATTAAAAAAAAGCTGTCAACTCCTATGTTTGCTTTGATTCTTAAGGTACATAACATATTTTTTCAGTTGTTGATGTCGCATCCAGCCACATACATAGGTAGATGATAATGCTGCTGCCTCTAGATTAATTTTCTAACTTTGTAGTTTAAAACTTTATCTGAACCACTATCTTTTGCTTCCAAATGTAACTGGTATATTTATGTGGTTAATAGGAAAACAATTCAAGCTTGTTAACTCCTTTTTCTCAGTTCACATATAGTTCTTGTTCATATCACCAGTATCTGTCACCCCATGGAATTTTAACGTATCTATTTTGGTTGATATTGGGAGAAAACTTGTAAGTGTTGCTCATATTTTTTGCATATTAGTATTTGAGCTGAAACTAATTATTTTTCAGAAATTTAGAAGCCAAGGACAGCTAGAAATACTATGTTGAGATTTGTGAGGTTATTTCTGTAAATATATTCTTATAAAATGTTATATAAATATAAATTTTTGTTGTTTTGTTTTGCTTTTTCTTTTGTTTTTGTGTTCTGGTTCAAAGGTCACCAGAAAGACCTACAGGGGATCTTAGAGAAAGAATGAAGAACAAGCGCCAAGATGTGGACACGGAGCCCCAGAAAAGAAATACAGAGGAGTCATCCTCACCTGTTAGGGTAGGAATGAATTTTCCAAAACAAAGTTAAATTTTTCAATTAATGATTTATTATTTAAGTTCTATTTTAAATATCATCTTATATACTAAATATATGGTAATATGAATGTGGCATTATAATGTTCTATATGGATAACATAATTTAGAGAAAAAAGTCCCCTGGGAAAACGGTGACTGTTTCAGTTCTTCATGGTAGTTAAGATACAAGGGATTGCTTAGCAGAACTCAAGCTGAACTTAATAAGGTTTTTGTACCCTGGTGGGGATCATGAGCATCTAACTATATTCTTAAGTTTTCCGAATTCAGCCAACCATCATGTTCTGCTTCTAAGAAAAATTAAAGTGGCTTATAGTAGAAAACTCACAAATTAAAACAATGAAAGCAAAACATGGGGGTAACAAAAACTGAACTAAGCTTAGGTAAAGGAAAGCACATATGACCACAAAATTTAGCTGTGAATTTGTTGACAGTAAAGCCAAGAGAAATATAATTTATCATGCAGTACATTGAATAAAAGAAAACATAGGTGTTTGTCAGGAATGGAAAGCTTTCCCAGAGCTAATTTTTTTTCCGAAATTTATCATACCTCTGTGTGTGTGTGTGTGTGTGTGTGTGTGCGCGCGTGTGTGTAATAAATAGCTTTATTGAGATATAATGCACAACCATAAAATTAATCCATTTAAAGTATACACATTGGTGTTTTTAGTATATTCACAGTTATGCCACCATCACCACAGTTTCATATTTTCATCACTCCATAAAGAAACCCTATACCCACCCTTCAGCACTCACCCTCCTGTTCCCCCACTGATCACCAGCTGTGGGCAACCATTAAATCCCTTTTCTTTCTCTAGATTTACCTAGCCTGGGCATTTCACATAAATGGAATCATAAAATGTATGATCCTTTTTGACTAGCTTCTTTAACTTAGCATAGTGTTTCAAAGTTCATGAAAGAGTGTAGGATGCATCAGTATTTTATTTCTTGTTTTTGCCAAGTAATATTAACATTGTATTGCTATACCACATTTTGTTTATCCATTCATCAATTTGTGGATATTTAGGCTGTTTCCTCTTTTTGACTCTAATCTATAATGCTGCTATGAACATTTATGTACAAGTTTTTTTTTTTCTTTTGTGTGTGGATATGTTTTTATTTCTCTTGGGTTTACAGTGAGGTGTGGAATTGCTGAGTTATATGGTAACTCTGTGTTTAACCTTTTGAGAAACTGCTAGATTGTTTCTTAAGCAGCTGTACCATTTTACATTTCTGACAGCAGTGTGTGAGAGTTCCATTTTCTCCACCTCCTCACCAGCACTTATTATTATCTAACTTTTTGATAATAACCATCCTGGTGTGTGTGAAATGATAATGTAGTTGTGGTTTTGATTTACATTTCCCTGATAGCTAATGATGTTGAACAGCTTTTCTTGTGCTTATTGGCTATTTGTACATTTTCTTTGGAGATTCTTTGCCCATTTTTTAAATTGGATTATCTTTTTTGCTATTGTGTTGTAAGAGTTCCTTTTATTTTGGATACAAGACCTTCATCATGTATATGACTTGCAAATATTTTCTCCTATTCTGTGGGTTGTCTTGACATTCTTGATGGTTTCCTTTAAAGCACAAAAGTTTTTAATTTGATGAAATACAACTTCTCTATTATTTTGTTGTTGTTGCTTGTGGTTTTGGTGTCATCTAAGAAACTATTGTTTAAGGTCATAAAGATTTACACCTATGTTTTCTTCGAAGAATTTTATAGTTTTAGCTCTTATATTTAAGTCTTTGGTATGTTTTGAGCTAATTTTTATTTATGATATGAAGTAAGGGTCCAGCCTTATTCTTTTGCATGCGGATATCTAGTTGTCCTGTATTATAATTTTTTAATGAAAGTTATTAAGTTGTGTAAGCAGCAACCTCCTTGATCATTTAAAATATATAGAAGCTTTATTTTTGACCCATGATAAGTAAGCAATATTATGTTGTAATTTGTAGAGACTTATTTTTTGGCACCTAAAGTAATGCAATTTTAAGTATGTAGGTTTCTAGTGTCTGATGTGATATAATAATAGTTTTAGTTCTTCAGCTGAGAACTACTATTTAAGAAGTTCAGAAGAAATTTATCAGAATTTCTTTTGAGAGAAGATCTTTTTCAAAATATACACTGATGCTCCACTGAATCAGAATTTCTGAGTAGGGGCTAAGCGTGTGTATTGCATTTTGAAATAACCTGTTGATTCAGAATAATGGATGGCTTCAGTGGTCTGCTGGTAAATGTTATTAAACCACTCTGATAAAAAGAAAGCCATGCTTTGTAGGATTTGCCAATTTCTTTGGTGTAGATACT